AATGTTTGGGCCAGATCTGGCCCAGACATTGCCACATCTGGCCCAGTCCACATTTGCTCATGTGGCCAGATGTCGGCCCAGATCTGGCAATATCTGACAAAGGTATGGCATGCCGGATGTGGACCAGATGTGGGCCAGATCAAAATCAAAGGGGCCAGATTAGGGCCAAATATGGACCACATATGGCCCAGATTTTTTTTTTTTTTTTTTTTTTTTATGTAAATAATATTAAATTATTCAATAAGATTACTACCTGTAAGCTGGTGGTACTCCTGGTTTTTGTCCCGACCCGTCTCGCACAGCTCCACCAGCTCCGTGTTCTGGCGCGGGATACAAGTCTCCATTCTCCTCCTAGACTGCAAGGACCCATGTCCCCATCTCTTAGATTTAGGTCACATATAATCTCAACTTGAACCTCAGTTTTTTTTTTTTTTTTTTTGTCTCAGTCGGTGCATTGGCCTGGACATGACGCTTGTTGAAACGTACCCTTGTCAAAATTTTTGAAAATTCAATGCATTCAACTATCTCTCAAACCAAAGGAATTATGGGAATAATTACTATAGAATTCTGACTGAATGTCATATATGAAGATTCCAAACATGCCCTTGGATTTGACAGTTGACCCTTATTTCAAGGTCAAACAGGCCAAAATCTTCTAAAAATGGGGATTTTTTTCAAAAGAATTTATGTTTGCGCCAATTTTTAGAAACTACACAGATCAAAGTGGGGGATTACAAATTGGGACTTCATCCTTATCTTTGGGAGTTTGGGGTCAAGCGGTGCATTTTCACAGGAGAAGTGCATTTTGTTTGTTTTTTGCATTTCGTAGAGCGTGTCAAGCTCAGTACTGGGGGTGGAATCTATTTTTTTGTTTTTGATATGTAGGTTAGGAGTTGTGCTATATAAAAAAGTACATTTCAATATTCAGTAGTGAAGCAAAATGTGAAATACTCAAAAACTGGCAGAGATACACCCATGGTTACTATTGACCTTGAATAAGAAGTCACATACTGGCAGCCAAACTGTGACCTTGAAATTGACCTTTGACCTACTTTTCATCATAAACTAAGTCTTGCAAATTTTTTGCCTCTTTTATCTGCAAAAATGGCAGAGATACACTTATAGTTACTAGTGACCTTGAATAGGAAGTCATATACTGGCAATCTTACTCTACGCCGCTTTGTAATCTGGAACATAGTCAATCTTACACGTCAGACTTTGTGTGCAAATCAACTTTGTGATTTATTGTGATAAAAGTCAGTATAAAGATCAATTTTGTCTTAAAAACTGCTCCACATCCTTCTCAGTCATTTCATTGTCTTCATCTGAATCACTATAACAGTCATCAAACCCCTCATCACTGTCTGACATCTCTGCCTGCTCAGAGTGGATACTGGGAGTTGTCACATCATTGGAAGACTCAGAAATTGTCACATCAATGGATGGCTCAGAGTGGAAACTGGGAGTTGTCACATCAATGGAAGACCCATTTTGGGACCTTAGCCAAGGTCTTCCGACCTCCCACTTTGGCAAATATAGCCTTTTTTCAATTTTTGGTGTTTTTTGTTTGGTACCTGCAATTTTTAAGTGTCAAGTTTATTAAAGACTGCCAACACAATCACTGAGTCAGACATNTTTTTTTTTTATAATCTGCAGAAGCGACTAAAGAATAATTTGCTAGTTTTGATGATTATGTAAAACTGTTATGGCGTAAACGGGAGTCGTCTTATTCTAGCGGAGGTTTTGATGGTGTGAAAACGCATATAATCATTAAAGGTGGGGAAAGTAAAGCACCTGTTATAGCAATTGTAGTTGAGGAGAGGGAGGAGGAGACAAATTTTGTATAAGATTTCTTACCTCAACTTTGTCTATTGTTTTCTACTTCTCTATTCTCTGTGAACTTCACGTGCAGGCTCCACGGAAACTGGGAATATTCTGCTTCTGTGTTTATATCACGTGACATGAGCCAATGTTGCCATTGCCCGGAAAGTCAAATTGATTGACTCGAACCAGTGCCAGTAGGGCGGCTGTACATCTACTGCTTTTTCTCATGCGTGCTAGTTAATGGACGACCCCCGCATACGTTGGATTATAAACTAATTTATCCCATGCAAACTATAAATTTGTTTATATTAACTAGTAAGCAAAATCTCTTACACTGCTGCAGCTCATCATCTTCTAGCTACAATTTTTACATCTGATGGTTTTTAAAAGTTACTGTTCCTGTGATTCATCAGCTGTTTTTTTTTTTTCTTTTTTTTTTTTTCTTTTTTTTTTCTAATAAGTCATATTGTGTAATATTATTCTGTGTTGTTGTTAAAGGGATAACAACTGTTTGTATGATATCCATATTTACTAATAAAAATATTGTAAACAACTCCTAGAAATATAACAAATTATGTTTTACCACTAAAATGGCAGCTGTTGGTACTCCTAATTTTATTCCCGACCCGTCTCATACAGCTCCACTAGCTCCGCATTCTGGAGCCGGATACAAGTCACCATTCTCCTCCTAGACCCCAAGGACCCATGTCCCCATCTCTTGGATTTAGGTCACATATTATCTCAATTTGAACCCTTTTTTTTTTTTTTGGCTCAGTTGGTGCATTATCCTGGGCATGACATTCGTTGAAACGCACCCTTGTCGAAATTTTTGAAAATTCGATGCCAAATATCTCTCAAACCAAAGGAATTATCGGAAAAATTACTATAGAATTTTGACCGAAAGTCATATTTGAAGATTCCAGATATGCCCTTGGATTTGACAGTTGACCTTTATCTCAAGGTCAAACAGGCCAAAATCTCCTAAAAATGGGGATTTTAAAAAAATATGTTTGTGCCAATTTTTAGAAACTACACCGACCTAAGTGGGGGGATTACAATTTGGGACTTCTTCGGAAGTTTGGGGTCAATAGGTGCATTTTCACAGGAGAGGCAGCCGTTAGATGCCAAAACTGAAAACACTCTATTATACCAGAACCCTAAATACAAGAGACCTCTTGTTTTTTGCATTTCGTAGAGCTTGTCAAGCTCAATTAATACTGGGGTTGGAATCCATTTTTTTGTTTGTTTTTGGTATGTAGGTTAGGAGTTGTGCTATATAAAAAAGTACATTTCAATATTCAGTAGTGAAGCAAAATGTGAAATACTCAAAAAATGGCAGAGATACACCCATGGTTACTATTGACCTTGAATAAGAAGTCACAGCCAAACTGTGACCTTGAAATGTGACCTTGAAATTGACCTTTGACCTACTTTTTCATCTTAAACTAAGTCTTGCAAATTTTTTGCCTCTTTTATCTGCAAAAATGGCAGAGATACACTTATAGTTACTATTAACCTTGAACAGGAAGTCAAATACTGGCAATCTTACTCTACGCCGCTTTGTAATCTGGAACACCTGTAGTCGATCTTACGCGTCAGACTTTGTGTGCAAATCGACTTTGTGATTTATGAAAAATGTCTGTATACTTCACTTTGTTCTTCAGCAGTGATTCAGTATCCAGATTACACACCCTTTTTATCTATCTATCTATATTTTTACTCGAAGTTTGTTTTACCCTGATATAAATAACGCACCATAGTATTTTTGGGAATTTCTCAATTCAATTAAAAAATTTAATTAAGCTGTGCTTTATCGACTTTTGTCATCTTGAAAATGTGAGATTTTACATAACACACTGTTACTCTCAAGCACATATATACGCAGGCATCCACCTCTCTAGATTTTCTCTCGCTTCCTCTCTGCTATTGCTTCACAATAAATATAACATCTGCAAACATCATCGTTCACCTTATCCATGAGTCCTTTTGTCAATCTGAAGCATAACATTTGTATTACCAGGTGAGTTTAATGAACGGCTTCGCCGATTGTGTGAAAGTGGTAAGATTCCAGTATACCGACAGCGAGTAGCTATTGTAGGACCTTACGGTGTGGGGAAGACTTATCTCGCCAAGCGCCTCATCCATGAGGAATATATCAAAGAAGAAGATGCAAATACAACTGGCGTGAATATATACCGCCATAGGTTTGTTGTCCATAAAGCTGGCCGATCCTGTTGGATCAGAGGAAAAGGTAAGCAGAATATAGGAAAACGTTTGACACATATGGAATATGTTTATAAAGAATAGAAAGAACAGAAGATAAGACATTTTCAATTTTACCGCATAATTCACAATAAGGAATTATACATACATGTACGTGTGGGTGTTGAAATGTGTCCTTCCATATCTTAGTATGGTAGATGAGGGGCTGAGTGAAAAAGTACCTAAATAAGTGGTGCCTTTGTATTGTTATCAATCAATTGACATACATGACACTTTACAATCTACTCCTACAGCCCATTAATTATTTTTTAACTGGGTACAAACACTATAATTTCATTCTTTGTAAAAACACCATGCTTTATTTTACTCAATATTGAATTGAATTTTTCAACGGTGTAGCCTGATACGTACACTCAGAAAGGGTACATTTAGCTACAACGCTTGATCTACCTGTATGATCATTCTAACTATTCTCAGATGATCCAAAAGACCAGTTTGCACAAAACATGGCAATTGGAGTACAGAATTCAGATACGTTTTGTGAGCCGGACTTAACAGTATTGGACCAAACGCCACTAGAGGAATCCCTACCAGATTCGGAAGAGAATATTAATAATATGCTGACAAATAGAGGTATTGTACATGATTGTCTCGAATAGTTCATCTTGGTGCAATTTAAGCAGATACTTGTAGTTATTCTTCTTTTTTGCCAAGAGACTCACCTTCTATGTGTTTTTCATTGGCCATTCCACATATATGTGCCTTGAAGACGTTTTTGTTTACTTCAAGTTTGAGTCTTTTTCTGTTAGAATGGTGTTTGATATTCTTCTTCTCTTTATTCTACAGCCGCTCCCCCTGATGACAGTGAATCACCTGCCTCTCCTGACAAAGCAGCAGGTAAGTAGTTCACATGTAGTAAAACAAAATTCTCGTGTATTGCTCAGAATGTTCGAGAGTTTTTCTTAGCTTGTTGATAAGGTATGTGAGTTTCTATCTTCTTATTTTCATCATACTGGGACTTAGAACTCACACGGGCATGAAGTGTCGATTGACCGTGCTATCAAGTATTATTTATTATTGCATCAAAATGAGAAATTAACCTATTTTTTGCATCTTTATTTATTTATTTATTTATTTATTTATTTATTTATTTTGTCTGTAGACTCGCCCTTCAAGAAATCCATGCCTTCAAGAAATCGACGAAAACTGGAAGTGTGTGTTTTTTGCACTGTTTTTCCTGTCATGCCCATCGTAAACGCTGTGTTGTCAAGTAAAATGAAGCATCTGATACACAGTATCAAACGCGGCATTGACGTTCTTGCTTGTGATGCGTTCAGTACACTTTGTTTACACTGAGAAGTCGAGGTCAGGAATGCACAATGTTTTTCTATGTTATTACGCAGTTTCAATTTTGATTAGTGAATTTTCTTTTATCTGCATGGTCATTTTCCGAACATTTGTATAAGCCACGAAATATTTCTCATTGGAAAATCACCCAGCAGCTTTCCAAGTACAAGCGATTGACGTCATGAAGCACTTCCGGTTTTCGTCAAGATCTTGAAGGGATTAGCGTTACTTATTCTTATTGATTACTTATTCTTCACATGATATCACACATATGTGCTTAATTTGATATATATTTTCTACAGTTCCCATTCAAAAATGAAAAAGAGCTATTTTCCGTCGATTTCTTGAAGGGCAAGTCTACATTTGACAGATTTGCTGTCTTGTTTTATCTGGGTACAAACACCACAATTTAATTTTCTGTAAAACAAGTCTTCTTTATATGACTGAGGATTATTTTTCTTTTTGCCAAGGGATTCCACCTTCTATGTGTTTTTCGTTGGCCATTACACCTTATGTGCCTTGAAGACTGGGCACTTGATACCAATTATACTTGATCTTATTAGACGCATTTTCGATGTAATTTATTTATTTTTATACAATATTTATACAATATCCCAAAGTTATATGTTAAAATTTTGTAAAGAAATTCCTTTATCTTAGCCACGTTTTTGTTTACTTTAAGATTGAGTCATTTTCTGCTAGAATGGTGTTTGATATTCTTCTTCTCTTTATTCTACAGCCGCTCCCCCTGATGACAGTGAATCACCTGCCTCACCTGACAGAGCAGCAGGTAAGTAGTGCACATGTAGTAAAACAAGATTCCGTCTTTTGCTCAGAATCTGCGAGAGTTGTTCTTAGCTTGTCGATTAAGTATGTGAGTTCCTGCATTCTTATTTTCATCAAACTGTATTAATAATGTTACATTAAAATTGACTATACCTTACAATTTTAATTGATTTTAATTAATGTTAAAACATTCAGTGTTTATCACCCCATTATGTTTTGAGCTTACCCACTTGTATTCATCAGAGAGGATACATTTTTAAGAAACTTTTTTTTTTTTGCGCAAATTGCTGATAAACCTTCAGAAACAGACGAAAGCTTCTAATTTATTTGATAACTGTTTCACAAAGTTAATTGACACTAAACACATTCAAATTTTGTCAATAATTACGATACTTTTTTTATGCTAAAAAGTTTTATTTTAACCACACTGTTTATTGTACAGTCCTTTTCAAAGGTGAAAGTGGATCTCATACCTCTGGGGAAGAAAACATGAGTTGTATAAGAATTTTGACAATATGTCGGATGTATTAAACGTCCCTGACAAATGAAATAAATTAGATTGAAAGCATGTCTATAAAGATTAAGGTCTAGTCTCTCTCTCTCTCAACCCCCCCCCCCCCCCC